AATTTTAATAAGGTGCACAAAGCTTTTAAATCCTGCGGCTACTCTGGTCAATACACCATGGCCTAGTTAACAAAAGCTAGCCTGCAGGGAAGATCGGTAAATCATTCCTAAACTCTTGTGGGAAGATGGCACATCAAGGTGTGGTCTTAAAAGAAATGAAGACATTATAGAGCTTTTTTTTTCCAGAAGAAGAGCAGTGGACATTAGGGCATGGAACTGAATAACAAATAAGACCTGTCAGAAAATGTTGCAGTACCAAATACTCTAAGATTAGAAAACTTCTTCTTTTGGCAGAGATTCTGTCCAAGGACATCATAATGTAGCTTTTACTTAGTCAGGACATACCATACCTGTACTCCTATGGCTAATCAATGGCAAGGGAACAGGTGAGCCACAAGCAAAATTCTGTGAGGTTTTGAAGATGAGAAAGAGGACATTAGCAGAAATTATTGTGATATTATTACTTGGTAACTGCTCAACTGTCAGTGAGTGTACCCAATGGTGAGGGAGTCTGAACATCAGATGAAGGCTGTGTCTACACTGGCCAGTATGCCTGCAATGGCCAGAAGTTCAAATGGAGCTCTGTAACAAGCTTGAAACACTGGCGAGCACAGGGGAAAGGTAATGGTCAGGGTTATGAATTGGACTCAATCATGCTCTCCACACTCACAGAGCCATCTGGAATTTAAATAAAACTCTGGCACACACCCCAGCTTTTCCTGTAGCAGGGCAATGCTGGATTAACCCAGTATAACCCACAATACTCACAGAAGTGGAGGAACATCATGAAGAAAGCCAGGAGCCAGCACAGGGCAGATCTTGGTTGTAATGATCATATAGATGAGCCCTAGGACTCTGGGAGACCAGAATTCAAATTGCCATTCAGCCATGAAACTCATGAGGTGCTCTTGACTTAGGGCCCTTCCACAAAGCCATCTAACCCAGAATATCAAGGCAGAAAATCCACAATATCTGCTTTGAACTAGGTTATCTGAGTCCACACTGCCATATAACCCAGTTCAAAGCAGATAATGTGGGATTTTATACAGCTTAGTCTCTCAACCTAAAAGAAAAGCAATGCCAGACTTTCCTTGAATAAATTTTACCAATAAAGCCTCACAAATTAATATTAGAGTCTTCTTAAGTCAGCAATACCGTATTTTCCAGTGTATAAGACAACTGGGCATAAAAGACAACCCCCCAAGTTTCAAGTTAAAATATAGACTTTGGGATATACATACCATATAAGACTATCCCTCTTTCAATGCATACCAAAAATTATTTTAAAAAAAATCAGATTTGATTTCAATATGGTAATTTTCCTATTACTGTACCTCCTCTTCTGCCTCTCAGATCTCACACATGCGCGCCTGCGCTGCTTCACTGCAGTCCTCAGGAGCAAGATCTGAGAAGCAGAGAAGGAGGTATGGTAATAGGATACAAAGGCAGGGCAGACAGGTGAAAGAGACTTGTTTTTCTGGGCGCAGCGCTGGTCTATCTCTTTTTTCCATACCCTGGGTGTCCCAGACGTCTGCAGCTTGCTCCGCCCTTCACTAACACCTTGCTGGTGAGACACCTCTCACTTTGTCATTGGGACTGCATTAAGTCATTTCTTTCCATGAATTCTGGTGAGTGGATTTTCTTCTACTGTACTTGTACAGCACCACCCTTGCTGCTTTCATATAGTCACGACATATGGCAGAGATGCAGCCGTGGCCAATTTTGAGTTCCCTCACCATATGCGGCAACTGCAGATTCTCCAGTCCAGCTCAGAAGTTTCAGCACCTGCCCTATACGACGACACCCAGCATAAAAGATGACCCTCAACTTTTGAGAAGATTTTCCTGGGTTAAAAAGTAGTCTTACACACTAAAAAATATAATTACTAGGGCTGGGCGGTTTCTTTTCGTTAATTCGTAATTCGTTAAAAAATTCGTTAATTTTTCAATTACAAAACGATAACGAACCAGTCTGGAGCAATTTTTTTAAAAAACGAATTTTTAAATCGTTTCGTAAATGGTTTGTATTTCGTTATTGTATTCGTTTCGTTATCGTTTTGAGGTCGTTTCGTTATTATTTCCGCATGTCTGGGGCAAGTTTTATAGTTGTTTTTGGTTTTCTAAGGGTTTTTATAGTTGTTTTTGGTTTAATTAAGCTTCAGAAGTTCCCCCTGTCCCATTTGGAGGTTTTTTAGCATATTGCGCGGTCGCGTCCGCCATTAACGAATCGATTCGTTATTGTTTCGGAAATCGATTTGTTATTGTTTTGTAATTTTTTTCACATTTACGAAATTTCGTAAATATCGAACTTTTTTAAAGGAAAATTTTGTAATTATTTTAAATAACGAAACGCAAAAACCCCCAAAAAATGAATCGATTTTAGAAACAAATTTTTCCGTTGTTACCCAGGCCTAATAATTACTTGAAGGCACACAACAACAACAAACAGCTCTAGGCTGAAGATAATACATGGGGCATGAACCCCATTTGCTAATGCCAACTAGAGTAAGACCCGGAAAACCAGTGCAAAAATCTTCCCTTCTCCTCCTGGTTGTGTACTGACCTCATTCTAGCATCAGCAGAATGATGGTCAGCTCAAACTGATTTGGTATAGCAGCAGCAACATGGGGCCAATGAAGTGACAGCAGTGGGGCACAACCTGGGTATCACAACCAGATACAGTGAAGATATCTGCTCTGGTGCTTTGCTACTCTGCTGCTGAGTATGCATGCCCAGTGTGGAACACATCTCACCATGCTAAAACAGTGGATGTGGCTCTTAATGAAACATGCCGCATTATCATGGGGTGTCTGCGCCCTATACCACTGGAGAAATTACACTGTTTTGCTGGTATTGTACCACCTGACATCTGCTGGGAAGTAGCAACCAATAGTGAAAAGACCAAGGCAGTGACATATCTGGCCCATCCCCTGTTTGGATATCAGCCAGCACGCCAACGACTTAAATCAAGAAATAGTTTTCTAAGATCTACAGAGACACTCACTGGAACACCTCCGCAAGCAAGAGTCCAAAAGTGGCAGGCTCAAACCCAGAACCTCAATCAATGGCTGATACCAAATGAGAGACTCCTTCCTGGGCACACAAAAACCTGAGCACTTGGAAGGCACTGTAACAGACTGCGCTCTGTCACCACAAGATGCTGAGCCAACCTTAAGAAATGGGTCTACAAAGTGGAATCCACAACATGCGAGTGTGGAAAAGAGCAAACCACAGACCATCTATTACAATGCAATCTGAGCCCCGCCACATGCACGATGAAGGACTTTATTATAGAAACATCAAAGGCACTCTGAGTGACCACTTACTGGTCAAAGGACATTTAATATAATGCCAACTTTGCAAACTTTGTGCGGGTTTTTTTAATGCAGTATAACTGCTTGGTTCGCTCCTGATACGATAAATAAATAAATGTGATCTCAGCCTATCTAGAACATTTGGATACCAACAGGGTGCTGTGGGGGATTTGGTTGGGTATGTGTGGCTGCTTCTGGGGCCCATCTGGAGAAATAATGCTTCAGAATAGACTGGATTTAGAAACCACTGAAACTCATCCAGCTGTGACTTCCATACTCTGTGCATAACTATGGCGGTTCTAGCTGGATGAGTTCCTTCCAAGGGAGATCTGATCCCAGGTTTTCTGCTTTAAACTGGATTGTATGTGTTTGCACTGCCAGATAATCTGGGATTAGGCCCGTAGCCAGGATTTTGTTTTGGGAGGGCCTGAGTTTGATTCGGGGGGTGGGGCTGAGTCTGAGTGAAAGAGGGTCTACCCTAGCAAACCTTTTGTATTGTCACCCCAATACCCCCATGCATATGGGATATATTGAGCATGGTGATCAGATCATAATATGAATAAACATAACAGTTTAAATCATGTACCAGTAAGGCCTTCTCGCAAACCAACCTGAGAATTTGGGGTAGCTCCCCCCGCAGCTACATACCTGTCTGGGATAAACAGAAAATCTGGAATCAGATCCTGAAATATAGGACATGTGTAGAAGGGCCCCTAGTCCCTTAGAATGGCTTTTACACAGGCCTTTGGTTAGTGGTTTTGGGGGGAGGGGTTGTGCTATTTAGTTACAATTTTATTGCTATGTTTTTAATGGACTGTTTCTATCTGCTTTCTTTTGTTGTTATTTACTTTAACAAGATCACTTTATCTTTTACTTTACTGCCTACGGTGCTGTGTGGAAAAGGAGGATAAAGCTCTAGATAATAGATAAAAAGGGGCCACAGGCAGGACACTCAATTTCACTCTGTGGTTGATGGGAACTGTATATTTATGTCATATTTGCTGTGTGGGTTTAGAAAAGGGTAAGAATCTTACCATCATTGAAATGTCTGTATGTATTTGCAATGAACACAGAAATAATACACAGGATTTTTCTGCCTCCTCCATATTTATATACAGTTTATTGCTTGCTTTTGTCAGCAGCCAGGAAACATCACAGTAGATTCCCATGCCAAACAAATCCTTCAAGCTCCTTCAGTAATTGTGTCCTTCAGACTGACTTTTCTACAAAAAAATTGCATTTAACCCCTGTTTCTCATTGCAGGAAGGGCGGTAAAAGGCTCCAATATTGGAACAAGGTAGGAGGGAAGACTGGGGGGAGTTTCCTCTTAATAGGGAGGAGGATTATATATAGGAAGCCTTGCTCTGACCTTCTTGGGTGAGAAATTCACCCTTCTCTCCTTGACATTGATAACAGCCATGAATTAAGTGATTTGCTTGCCTGTCAAAAGGAGATTTTCCTCTGTGGAGTGAGCTTGACTCTCTCTTCCAGCCCTCCCCATCACCACCACCATCCCCATCTCCTTGCTTCCCCTCCATCTTTTATGGCTGTTGCCATGGTGCCCAGAGAGAGCAAAGCACCGCAGCAGGGGAGGAGGAGAAGGAGGAGGAGGCGGTGCATGCTGCAATTTCGAGACTCTGTCTCTGTGAGCTCATCAACCTCCCTCCTCCTCCTCCTCCTCCTCCTCCTCCTCCTCCTCCTCCAAGGAAGGAGGTGGCTGTCTTGCTGGTGGGTGGGTGGTTTCCATCTTCAGCATCACCAAGCCGGAGGGAGGGAGGGAAGGAGGAAGGGAGGGGTGAATAGATGCTGATGTTGTGCTCTGAAGCCACCTCCAGAGAAGGGAAAATGGATCTGGCTCACCCATCCCTCCTTGCCTTTCAGCATCTTCCCTTAGCTTCAACATGGTGAGCATGATGAAATCCCAAACTGTGGGCTCCATCACTGTTTTTTTGGAAGGTGGGGGGTTGCAGTTTGGCTCGGGCTGATGGGCATTTGCTGCTGTTCTTTCTGTCTCTTGGCATCTGCATCCTAACCATGTAACAATGACTTTCATCTGAGCTGCCGGAAAGGGTGGGAGTGGAGGGGAGGGGGCTTGTGTGAGAGTGAGGGGGAAAGCAAAGATGGAGAGGGATTGAAGGCTGATTAGAGGCCGTCTCAGGAAATGTGACTCTAGGATTAATTGTAACAATCATCAGTCATAGGGATGCTTTTATATATGGTCATTTCCATTAGTGAAAAACATCAGGGTGTGCTGTAAATGGCTGTCAGGCTGAGAAAATGCAGTTGCTGTTTCTGATGGTTTTTAATTCCACCTTGTGATTTCCTAATACTGGTCCAGGCCTTAATGAAGTCCAATGTGCTCTAACCAGCTATAGCAATGCCAAAAATAGACAACCTCAGATCCTGGCCATGACTGGTCTGTGGATATGTTTAACATAGTGGTGGTTTATATGCTTGGTCTTGTATCATTTTTGTCGCATTGGTTAAAGATCTAGGTCAGATGCAATTTATATGGTAATGTGTATGTGTACGTGTTGGTGTGTCTGTGTTTGCATATTCAATACACATCTGGAGTTCTTTGTAGCTTTGTATGTATGGTACATGTGCTGCTTTTATTGGCAGGGAGTGACTGACAGCACATTCCACTTGAGCTGGTATGAGTGATTTATAGTCACTTGGTTTCATTTCAGCCACTTTACGGCAGATCTATATTGTACATTTGGAATGTTGTATAGCACTAATTCACAGCTTCTTTCCATTAACTGTCATGGCTACTCTATTACTCTCGAGTCCTATGAGCTTTCTAGTTGCATCTGGGGAACCAGAATGCTAAATTAGATAGGCCTTTGGTCAGATCCAGAGGGGCTCTTCCTATATTCTGTTCAAAAGAAGGATATACAGACACCGAATAATCATTGAATAGAGTGTTTAGGGAAGCTGGACAAATAATAACCCATATCTATCAGCCCTCCATTTTGATATTTCAGAAATAAGGGAGTCATATCACAATTTCTGCAATTTTTCCTCTTCATTCTGTGATTGAAATACTCCCATGATGGCATTTCATCTTCTTAGATTTTAGAAAGTAGGTTATTATGAAAATAAAATCATAATAAGTTCAATTCTGTATCACTTAGTTTAACAACATAATCTAGATAGAGGCATCTATTATTGTGTTATGTCAAGGATGGGGAACATGTGGTCCTCCAGGTGTTGGACTACAGCTGCCATCATCTCACAGCTTTGGCTGTGCCAGCTAGTGTTGATGGGAATGTTAATCCAACAGAACCTGAAGGGCTTCATATTTATTACTTCAGCCATACCAGCACAGAACTCTCCTGATACTTGGTCTGGGCCCATTTCTCATTCTTATTCTACCAAGAGAAATAAATCCAAATGTCAAGATGACATGATACCACATAAACACCATGTGTCATGGTAGCACTCATTCCAGTTGTAGATTCACAACATGACTGTAATAATAATTATTATTTAATTGACCAGTCATATAACCATTTCAGAATACAACATGAGTACAAGACGAGGCAAAAGGAGAGGACATCAGCTGACCTCAACATGACTGCCTAATAGATCTAATATCCTATGGAGGCCACATATTTTTCTAACAAAACAGGTGCCAGATATCAACAGCAATCTCAATAATTGTGTTTTAATGCCCACAGAAACCTCAGGGGTGGGGGCTAAAAGTTATCTCAAAGGAACAAATGTGCCTGTTTTACTTTTTCTTTCATTGAGAGGTACACAACTGGTGGTGTTCCTGATGCCAGACTGTATCTTCCATGATCCCTCACCATTGGCTATACCGGATGGGATTTAGGGAATTTACAGTCCAACATCTGGGAGACCACACATTGCCTTTGATTAGTTAGTTAAATTGAAATAGTTCCTTTAATACAAGTGGTATATATATATATATATATATATATATATATATATATATATGAGAGGAAATAAGACATAAAATCATCAGATGATATTCTGTGGCATCGTTTTAGCCTTAGGAGAATTAGTTTTACAAACAATCCCTTAACTGGTACATTGGTTTTAAGGAAGATGGCATTTAATAAAAGAACCCAATAGTGATTTGAGATGGCAATTTGGAAAATTTAATATTTCTTTAATGTCAATGATGCGATCAGTGAGGTACAGACAAACAAGTATATGGTTCCTGTCCACTAGGTTTACAATAAAAAGACATTTCCAGAGAATTTATAGCACAAGAAACACACATGTATTTCTCATTCAGAGCACATTGCCTTTCAAGTTACTACATTTTCCTAAAAATACATTGCCTTTTTAAAGAAATACTCTTAAAATGGAGTGTGGATATGACAATCAAATGTTTTAACCATGTGCACATCCTATTGATATTTAGAAAGGAGTCAGAATTGACTAAATTACTGCTTATAAACAAACTAGATTTTTTGCCAGTTATTTTTATAGGAATTTTAAATGTGGAGGGAAAGAAGTGCTAAGGGAAGTGTTAATCTAGGAATGGGTCCCCAATCACATTTCCAAAATCAAGTTAATTTGTACATAACTGCTAACACGAAACAGGATGTATGAACAGTACAAACTGATGAAATGATATAAAAATAAAAATAATAGATTGCTTGAGAAATTAAATATAGGTGCTTTGCTTTTATCAGATCTAATGCTGTTATTTTTTGAATGAAAGAAAGCCCTTGAAGGAAGGGAACCTATAGGGAGGAAACAGGAAATCCCTACCCCTTTCATTATAGTACTTGCTGTATACTATGAAGCATCCTTGAAAACCATTTGTTTATTTATTATAAAATACTATTCTTGTGCTAGCTACTGTATACACTACTACTAGCAGGTGTTATGTGGAATATAATTTCATATTCACAGAACAAGCATCTAGCAATGAGTGTCTTTTGGAGAAATGCTGACAAATCAAGAATGGACTTAATTACAGTTGGCTTCAAGGTTTGTAGGGAGGGGGGCTTGTCCTCTGTCCTGATGCAATATACACACAATGTCGTTGTTGTAGCAACCACCAGCTCCCTCCTCTCCCTTTCCAGCAGTGGGTTTAATTGATAATGTTGCCATAAAGAAAAAAAGGTATTATTACGTGGTGGCCAACTTATTTTTCAATGCATCGATAGAATGTGACTTCCAGGTATAGAGGAGAACCAAGCAAACATATGGTAGGGTCCCATTAAAGCCAAGTTGCCTTGAATCTTTAGATAACATGGACATCTCTTTGCAAGTAATCCATCTTTTTTTCAGGTTCTTAAGGAGGGTTTCCAAAAATTGCATCTTGTAGCAGTATAATCTATGTCACCTTACACTCAACTATCCTGGTTTGTCAACCTACTCAGTGATGTTGATTGGCCATGTGAGTCCCAGTTTACATGTTTGAAAAGTTAGAGGTATGTGCCAATCTTGCAGATGAGTGCTTTTTGTTGAGCTGTGGTGTACCTAATTGAGGTGTGCCTATTGTTGCTGCCTTGTGAGGGAAAGCATGTTGCTACCCACCCCTTTTAAATTATGAGAATACAGAATATGCTTTGCTATAAAATATATTTGTATAAAATGTTATATGTTAGCTTCTAACTGCTTTGTGAAAGCTATAATTGAAAATGAAATGCAATATAGCTCACAATAGACAGTAAATAGATTTTACACATGCCTGACTTTACATTACATGGATGTAGTGCTCTGATTATACTTGTAATGCAGTGACTGCATCCTATGTAGTTCTGGAGTCTAAATGTCTCCCTAAATTCCAAATTGCATTTTAGAAGACTTAGTCATAGCAGATAAAGGGGAATCTTAGCACTTCCAATGTGTACTGTGAAAGGGTGCCATGTCCTGACTGTGGGTAGAAGACTTTAAAGCCCTAGCTACATTTCCTTTTTACAATCTTTTAAAAATCTATAAACAGGATTTGACTGGACAGACTTTCAAAGAAAACAGACTCCTTTGATAGCACTTCATTAGAGAACTTCTCCTCCATAACATAGGACACTTGACAACCTTAGAGTTTATCTACACTGGCCACTAAATCTGCAACCAGTTCAAAGCAGTAATGCTCCAGACTGGATACAAAGGAGGCCACGCGCTCCATCCTCAACCCATGGCAATGGCAGAGTGAAGTCCTACTATCCAGCTGAGCTAAAAATCAGTTTGGTTCCTCTGGACTGTTACCTTATTTTTCCTGTTGCTATCACTACTGTTGGACAGCAATAGATTTCCAGAATTGCTCCTGCCCACTGCAAGCATCCCATGCTGACATCAGCAGAGGCCCCATATGACCAGGGGAAGAAGGGACCACCTGGCAACCACGAAGGTGGTGACATGGGCCCCATCCACGCTCTTTTCCCTGAACTCATCTGTGCAGGAAAAAGGGAATTTCTTTGTCAGCCCACACATACAGCAGACTGGTCCACAGCAGTCCTGAACATGCTGTCCACACTGGGCCTAAATTGTGTGGTTACTCTGTAGTTTTGTGCAAACTCCAGAGCAACCCCTGACTTTCCTTAATGTGGGGCTAACTCAGATTCAGGGCCGGCCCGTCCATTACTCGAAGTAAGCGGTGGCGGAATACTTTTTTTGCCAGGGGGCGCTGTTTTGTCCTTAGGCCACGCCTCCTCCTGGAGGCCCCATGCGCCCTCAACAGCCTTCTAATGGAGAAGCGCAGGCCCCGCCCACTAGGCGAGAGGGAAGTCCTCCCTCCACGTGCTGCCAGGAGGGAGGCAGCCAGCCAGGCTCTTTCGCTTTCACTTTCCCTTCCCTGCAGCTGAGCCTGGACCCCTCTCAGGGCAGCAAGGAGGCCTCGTCAAAAGGTACTGCAAATGTCATCTTTTGTACATGCCTCCCCCAAACCTCTCTAGTATTTGGTAATGGAAGTCCTATA